ACACCTAAAACAAAAGCAAACTAAAAGGACAGCTAGATCAGGAGTGGAAACATAGAAATGATCTCAAGGAGGGTTAGCAACAGGGGAGTGGGAGGAGGAGAAGGGGGGAGAAGGTACAGAAAATAAGTAGCATAGACAGTAGATAGAAAATAGATGGGGGGCAAGAATAGCATGGGAAATATAGAATCTAAAGGAAATGAGACACATGGTCATAAACTAAAGGGGGGTAATGGTGGGGACGGTGGGGTAGGCTGGAGGGGAATGAAGGGGGGAATAGAACAACTGTAACAGCATAATCAATAAAAAAATTAAAAAAAAAGAATAACCACTTAGAATAAGTAGTAGAAACCATTTATAATATGGATTTAAAAAGCTATAAAGCACAGAAATAAAATGAGCAACAAGAATACAAGTTCTATGTGTAGAATATGTAAAATACAATAAAATTTTATTAAAAACAAGACATGACATGATTAGAGCAATGCCATGTTACTGAAAGAGAAAAAAATAAATATCTTTCCCTCTTCAATGAATATTTATGTTTAATATGAGTTTAATTTTTATCCCAGTGAAAGTCTTAAACTTTATACAGAAGAACAAATACCCAAGGATAGCCAGGAAAATTTTATAAAAGAAGTGAAAGGAGACTTGTCTTATTAAAAGCAACTTATTAACACAGGAAAAAACAAAATACATGCGTGGGAAGAACAGAGAGGACAGAAACAGTCCAAATGTGTGTGAGAGCTTTCTCTGTGATACAATGGCATTTAATTTTAGTGGGGAAAACATGCTTATTTAATAAATGTCACTGCCAAAATTGACAATCATTTTAGACAAAAAAAAAACAAACTCCAGATAGATTAAAGGTCTAAATATGAAGTAACCAAAGCCAATTAAAAGAGAAAAAGAGAATTAAGAGGCATCTAATCTGTATAATATGAGGTAGGGGAGGCCACACAGTTGACCCAAAATCCAGAGGATGTAAAGTGAAAAAGAAGACATAATGAACTACATAAAATTTTTTAAAAATTATATGTGACAAAGTCAGCAAAGTCAACAGAAACTGCACAAAGAGATATGGAAGCAATCATGTCATGTGCTAAGGGTTTATGTATTTAATGAACAGAACTCCTAAACATTAAAATAAAAGGGCAACCCAATAGAAAAGTGAATAAAAGATTTGGACAAGCAGTTTAAAGAAAAAAAATCAAATCACCAAGAGTGTGATGAAATGCCCAACCTCACCGAGAAATTAGGGAACTGGAAGTGAAAAATCATGCCCCCTCCCAGAGACTGACAGCTGTCATAGACAGGAGGCTCAGGGTCCTGCTTTACACTTGCTGATGGGGCATTGAATTGTCACAAAATTTTAGGGAAGTAGTTTATTAATATCTATTGATTTTTTAAAAAATGATGCTTACTTTTTGAACTAGCAGTCGCACATCTGTGGGGAGCAGAAATAAAGTACTGTCACATAAGGCTCTCTAAGGAGGGTATTTTGTGTAGTCAGAACATATAGTCAGGAAGTGAGAAGCAACCCAAATGTCCAAATAAGGGAATGAAAGAGTAAATAATCTGGTAAATCCATACTGTCAGCTATTGCACAGTTATTACAAAGAATGTCGCTCTATCTACTGATCAACAGTGAAATCTATGATGTGTGCTTCAGTGTGAAAAACCACTGAAGAACAATGTGTCTTAAAAATGTCATTTTGAGGAAAAAGAGGAAAGAAAAAAGGCAAAAGGCATCTATATGTGCAAATGAGTAAAGAAAGGTATGGGTGTATATACCAACCTGACAATATTGTGGGCATGGGTGGGACTGGCCGGGGCGGATTATTAATTTTTAAACTCCATGTTGTTTGATTTGAACATGTCACTCTTTTGTTTGAAATAGAAGTCACACATGTTGGTTAAAAAATCATACATACATAACTTCTTAAACTGAATTAAGCAAACGGTGGTCCCTTATCCCAGTTGTGAGCACCCGTGTGATGCTTGGTGCCTTCTGGCTGTTCTCTCAGGAGCCAGTGAGTGGCTTCCTGTGGTGGACCCTGGCAAGCAGAGTCCGCCTGTTGTGGCTGATGGTGAGAGTAAATGCACAGGTGACAATAATACTGAGGAGAAAAAGGGAACGGCACGGCTACTCCCTCAAAGGGACAGTGCCTATGGTGCCTCGGCCACTCCATCAAGAGGGGAGCGCCCTGACCCTTGCCTAGACAGGCTTTTATTGTTTTCCTGGGGTCTTGCATTCAGAGAAAGATTTATTATCTATTATATAGAATATTATTGTCTACATTTTAGGTACAGTCAAGAAAATGAAAATAACATGCAGAGGGGAATGGCGACGAGCTAATTAGCTCTGACCTTGGGAAAACTTACATAGGCTTTGGAAATTACCTGGAAGATAGACAATACACATTTGTTGTTTTAGACCAGGGTGTTGGAGTTTTAGCAAGAGCAAGCCATAACAGTCTGTATGCATTTTCTAGGCCTGACTCCCACAGGAAAACTTGGTTTGAAGGTCTGGCTCCTGCCCACCACTTCGCCTCTATAGGTTTTCCATACAGAGCTGAGTCACATTCGCCACACCAAAACAAACCGGTCCCCTACAGCTTCCTGCTGCTGTTCTGGAGAAAATGACTCTGTTCCAGCTTTCTTTTCTTATTGCACAAAAGCTGTTTTTAAGTGTTTGCATTGCTTGTCCACAGAAGTGACAGAACAGATTGCCCAAGTGTGCTAGCAAGAAATTAAATAAAAAAACATATCCTTACCCATTGGAAAGACACCACTTCGAAGCTTGCTTTCTTCACCTTTGATAGGAACCAGCTCTGTCCTTACTGCGATTTCCATAGATGCCTGCCTTCATGGTCTTATTTGCAAAACTACAAGCCTTAAAAATACACTTTTGACACATATGTGTTTCTATTAGATTTCTTAAGTTAAGGGGGGAAAGGGGAAGTGGTTTCTCTTTCCGAACGAGGGGCACTCTGAGTAGAAGTTGTCCCAGCTACCACTGTGGGTGCAGAGCAGGAAAGTGTACTCCGAGCAAGGGAAGCAGCTGCTTCTGGCTGATTTACAAAACCAGCAGCACCTGTGCTCAGCAACAGCAAGTCTAATTTTGTGCCCCTCAATCGTCCACATCTGTGGACGGTCGGGCTGGACTACCCCCTCAGCACGGCCCAGGGGTGCCTATCACGGGGTGTGACAAGCATGGGAGAGATTGTCCAGATCCATCCTCTCACCTTGGTGCTACTCGGTTTGGTTTAGCCACTGTGTGTAAAATCAGAATTTCACCTGCCAAAGGAAGCTAGTGTCCAGTTGTTTCAGCAAATAAAGGAAGGAGGGAAGGGGGCAGGCAAGCAGTAAAACAGTACAATTAAGAACAGGTGAAAGGTCTCCACACTTCCTCATGCATATCTGGATTATGAAGCATTTCAGTGTAGAATTCTTTTCTACTTGTAACACCTAGCCTCTGGGGCACTTTTAAAAAATAACAAAGTATTATATGTAACTTGAATACAATGTATATTAAAGTTATATATTATGATAAAATTGATTTCCATGATTCCACCATCCAACCTAATTTAGAAAACATTGAATCCCAACCCACCTTGATACCGCATCTCTCTACCTATCTCAACCTGTAGAGGTGACCATTTTCCTGAAGTTTTTTTTTCTCATTCTCTGTTTTTTCTTATCATTTTATTATGTACTGTGAATCCCTAAACAACATATCGCTTATGTTTGCCTTAGCTTTTCAAAGTTTCATATGTATTCTAATGCAACTATGTTTTAATTCTTCTACACCCTTTCTTTTCACTGTACTAATTCAATGATGTCATTTCCTTTAGCTCGTTTTGCTTTTATGCTCCATTGTATAAATATACCATCGATTTACTTATTCATTCTCCTGCTATTAGACACTTGGGCTATTTTCAATTATTTTCTGTCATAAGCAATGCTGCATTGGACATTCACATACATGTTTCCGGTTCTCCTGTATGCAAAGTTTTCTCTGGATATGTACTCAGGAGTGGAATTATCAACTCCACCTAAAAACTAATGCTAAATTGTTTTCCAGCCTGGTTGACCCCAATTATGTTCCTATCAGCAGTGCGTACGAGCTCCCATATGGTACATTCCTGCCAACATGTATCCTCTTCAAATGTTTTAATTATTGCCAAACTAGTGGGTATGGAATGATGCCTTCTTGTGGTTTTAATGTCTATTTTACTGAGTGCTCATATTTTCCTTCCAAGAAACAACTGTTCATGTCTTTGTCTATTTAAGAAATGAGTTTCTTTTTCTTTTTCTTAAAGATATGTAGGATTTCTATGTCAAATTCCTTTTTATGTATATGTATTTGCATGTACCTTCCAGTTTGAAACTTGTACTTTTTCTCTTTTACTAGCGTTTTTTAAAATAAAGTCTCAATTTTAGTAGAACAAATTAATTGTTTTCTTTTAAAGTCATATGTTTGTTTTGGTGACTTGTTTATGACTTGCAGTCAAACAGGGTGTGAGGGCCTGTCTCAGCCCTGCCAGGTCAGCAACTGTGAGGCGGGGCCCCCAAAGTGGGCTCTCCCCGGCCTGTTAGGTGACTCATGCAACTGATGTCTGAGAACCACTAGAATATCCCTAAGTAAAGAACTGAATAAATTATATAACATGCTTAAAATAGAGTATTAGCCATTAAAAAGAATCAACTAGATAATCATGTGCTGATCTGAGAAGATATCCAAACACACGAGATGCAAAACGAATGGGTATGGACACACACACACAGAGAACTTTTCTGGACAGACGCTTCAGAAGGTGGTAACCGGCGCTGCCGTGGAGCAGGACGGAACCAGAGAGGGGAAACTGACTTTCCCTTTATGCCCTTGGTTCTACATGGAATGTTTTCTCATTTTGCACATACTGCTTTTAAAATGATCATTTTAAAGTTACTGTAGTTAGTACGTAAAATTAAATAACCTTTGCATTTTGAATATCCAGCTTCTCCTAGGCTTTCTCGTCTTCCTGCTTCCGTTTGCCCCACCGTCCCTCCGAGCGCTTCTCATGCCCATACATGTTTATTGTGGAATCTTCATCTTTGGAACAGTGATCGCAACGGTGCTGATGGGACTGACCGAGAAACTGTTATTTTCCCTGTAAGTGACATAGTTTTCCTAATTGTATACTGAAGCCATAAAATATTAAGTACATGTTCATTGGAAAAAGGCAATAAAATATAACAAAAATTTTTAAATGTTGAACACTAAAAGTTTTAAATATTTACTCTTAAAACATTTATTATATTCTGTGTAATACCATATAGCATTGTATGTAATATTATACAATTTATTATATTAGACAATCAATATTGCTAAATGCTTGAAGGAGGGCTGAATGGCCTAACAAATTGTACTGCTCTGAAAACAGCTATTGACATCATTCATGCCCTTATAGTCTTTTTGATGTGCATGTTTTTATTCATTGGAATTATGGTGTATGTACATTTTCATATCATCCTCTTTCCATTACACTTTTTTTTTTCATTTACTGATTTCAGAGAGAGGGGAAGGGTGGGAGAAAGAGAGGGAGAGAAACACTGATGTGAGAAAGAAACATTGATCAGTTGCCTCCTGCATGTGGTCCAACCGGGGACCAAACCTGTAACCCAGCCATGTGCCCCTGACCAGGAATCGAACCCATGACCTTTTGGTCTACAGGACAACATCCAACCAACTGAGCCACTCCAGCCAGGGCGATCCTTTTTTTCATTTTTTAAGTAATACAAGTGCTCCAGATACTATGTTATTTTCATACCAGGGATTTTTTAAACAATTGTATACTCTTCCATGGAGTGAATTATAGCACAAATTCCTCCTTGATATCAAGCTTTAAGGGAATTGCACTGAAGCTATACCAGTGTGCATTTTGAGCAGATAAATTCAGAACTGTCTGGCACATTGCTGTCTCACTATTTGTAATTGGACACTCTCTTTATTTGTAGGAACAATCCTGCCTACAGTTCATTGCCACCAGAAGGCGTTTTTGTCAATGTCCTCGGCTTTCTGGTTCTGGTCTTTGGAGGCCTCATTTGTTGGATAGTCACCAGACCACAGTGGAAACGTCCTAAAGAACCAGATCTGACCATCCTTCAGCCCAATGGGGGCACTTGCGAGCGAGTGGAAGGCTCCATGGCAATCAACTTTGGCGAGATGGACAAATCCAACTCCGAGTTAAATGATGAAACAGCAGCGAGGAAAAGGAATGTGGCCCTCGAGGAGGCTACTCAGAGATCCACCATGTAAAATGTTGCAGAGGTGTGACCAGGGGACTTCGCTAAACTCGCTCTATGGTTTAGCTTGTCCTGTTTAGCCATAAAATGATTACGCTTCATAGAGTTAATGTTTGTGTTAATCCTGAAGTAGGATTTATTGAAAGAGTGTCTGAGTGAGGCCTGCGAACTTGCCTGGACTGGAAAGGAGATGGTGGATGTAAATGATCGCAGCTGTGAACTGTGGTTCTGTTACCTCTTGTTGAGGACCAAAGCATCCTGTGCCTTGCAGAGAACAGATGCTCAAACTGCGTCGGTTTGTTAGTCAACCTGAAAACCTGGCAGCCCTGGAAGTTTTTCTAAAACTCAACTTCGTCCCAAGGCTTCCCTGGGGTTTGCCATATTTTATCATCCATTTCCAGACTTAATTAGAATGGGAATATGCCTGTATTCTTAAGCAGCATAAACTGTTCTAAAAATCTCTAAGAGCACTTTCCTCAAGTTCCTATTTCTATTTTTTAAAAGTACTTGCATGGCACTTGTTATGTGCCAGGCACTACTCTAAGCGCTTTGCAAATCTTAGCTTATTCAGTCCCCAGATGAACCTTAAGAGGTAGGAGCTATTATTATCTCTACTTTACGGATGAGAGATCTGAAGCTTGAACAGTTGGTAACTTGCCTCAAAGTCCTAACTGGTGGAACTGGGATTCAAAACCTGCCAGTCTGGCTCCTCAGTCTATGAGTCTAACCACTCCACCAGGCTATTTTTTCTATTTTATACTAATTTGCACTTACTTTGACCCTCCCCTGAATAGATTTCAGTTGCTGGCATGCAGTGGAGTCATTAATGTTAACCTTTTTGGCCTTTTTTCTTAGGGCAGGCCCCTCAGATAACCAAGGAGATAGGTCCCAGGCACCTTCCACTGCCTGCGTTGCGAGCCGTGGCCTGCCTTGGTGCCCTTTGGGCGGCATCAAGTTGTGTCTTGATGACAAAGAACATTTATAGATTTCAGAATAATCAGTCACAATTTTTGTTCTTCGTGATCTCAGCTGCTGAACAGTTTTGGGTTTGAAGATAGGAGAGGCTTACCTCATGGTCTGCCCTTCCTGGAGGCAATATCTAGGGGGCGCCCCAGATCTGCGGGGTGGATTTTAGGGGATATCTTGAGCTCTGTGTTCTCAGTAGTGAATTGAGACTCAGAGGTGACAGCTTTTGTGCATGGAGACCTCTCCGGGCTGACTTAAATTCCAACCTGGAATAGTGCCTTGCTGAAATAATGTTTTTCATTTTGGGATCAATTTTTGGTTTCCCTGCATTTTGAAAATGGGGCATTTTAATGTGGATAAACACCTTATACTTTTACGCCAAACACATTTGAATTTTTTGGTGTCTAGTGGATTTCCTTTTAGGATAACTGGCAATTCCTTCCATAGATTGCATATTGAATATACTTCCTCACACCCCGTAAGCTTCATGGATAACCATTCAAGAGTCCCTAACTGAAACACTGTTTTCTTCTTACATGATCCTATTTCCAGAATTGGTAGTAGTAGTCAGAAGAACTGTCAGTGCCCAGCTCAATGCCTGGCAAATAGTAGGCACAAATTCCATTTAATAGTAAAGCATACTACAATTTTGGTGCTAAGTAGGAGTAATTCCATTGTCACACACAAACATTTGGTAAATGGACGTTTCATGACATAGTGAGGCACAGAGTTCCAGGAGTTTTTGTGGGGATGGGGTCAGTGACAGCCTCAAAAATTCACACTTCCATTCCATTTTATACAGGCCAAGAAAGGCCATCAGTGGAGTGTTAATATGGACTTGGTGCTTTAATATTCTGCTCCATTGCCAAGTGTTCGAGTACCCTGCATCTCAGCCCTTCAGCTTACCTTCCCTGTGGGCTAATGTTAGGGTAATCGTACAGATATCACAGGATCGTTTCTCTCTTTCTCAGCCTCTGGGAAAATAATGCACAATCAAATATACCCAGAACAACTTTCTGTTTGAGGCTTCTTTCACTGGGGGTTCTATTCTAAAGATAATTGTTCCTTTACTTTTCAAAAGCTAACATTTGCTTCCTAAAGCATCTCTCCCCAAAATATCTTATTAAAAAGCCCACGGAAAGAATAGGGGAGAAGAAAGCCTTAAGTATCAATTGCAAACCAATGACTGAAATCTCCACAAATACTTACAGTTTATATCATCTGCAGAGATTGAGCTGGCTTGGCTTACCCCATAATCTAATTTTAGGGCAAAAAAGCTTTATTTGAACGCTCATGTAAATTGACACTAACGCCTTTTCTCTGGAAGGGTTTCTTCCTGAGAAATTAGAATATACGTTTTGATTTAATGTTATCAAAAGTGTACAGCTTCCTACGCGCCTTGTGTCAAACGGAGTCCACCCGCCGAGGTACTTTCTTTCCTTTCTTTGTGTGGTTTCATTTCAGTTGTGACGATGAGAAACAGCATCTCAGACCTTATGATCAAATGACAAAGAAGGCGATCACAGCTTTTAAGGGCTACTGACAGGTGGATTCTGTTTCTAGAATAAAGAGGATGTCTTACTTTTAATTAGGCTACTTTCCCCGCTGAGTTGGAAATTCCAGTTGCAATACCAGTTGACCACAGCCACCAAATCTAAAAGCTCAAAGAAGTAGAGGTTTATGCTAATTTTATTGCCACATGATAGAATATTTATCTTGGCCTGTCCTTTCTTCAGATGATTCCAACAGGAAGTTGTAACTGCTATGTCTTAGAGCGGCACATAGAAAAGTATAGAAGAAAGACAACTATTATTCTTTATTCTTTATAAGGTACCTGGAAAAGATTTGTATGTTCGAATTTGTCTTTTTATCTCAGCACATTTATGGAAAAATATTAAATATTCCTGAATATTTTAAAATATTGTAGAAGAAAATATGCACCTATTTTTTCTTGACTTGTTTTTATATAGCAATAAAATTATATAGCAATAAAATAATAAAATTATTTTGCAACCTATTTGTCTGTGATATCAATTTGTTCAGGCTAGCAGGAGTAGGCATTGTTCTAAAAGTTTCTTTCCCATGGGAAATTTTTGTAAGCTCTTTTATTGTAGATGCTGTCACATTCCTCTCCACAGTGTGCCCCGAGTGCCATACTTTTGCATGACAAGAAGGGTTAGGAGACCATTTCAAAGCTGCCGTATGTATGTCCTGCATCCAGGATGTGAACTGCAGCCACGCTCAGTGTGAAGGGCAGTCACTGATGTAGGCGGCCCAGCAGGCACAGCTGGAGCTAGAAAAGCATGGAAGAAGAACCTGTTAAGTGCTGGTTATTACAAAACTCTGTGTCACTAGTTCCTTGTCCTTGAGAAAGTACATAGTTAATAATGGACAAATTGTTGGGATTTCTATTTCCCAAATAAGAAAGATCATTAGCACCCAAGTAGTGCCTGCACTCATCCAATCTTAATTTAACCTCTCATTTAGGCTTTTTTTCACTGACTCTCTGTCTCCTGGAAAGTGTTAATGGTATTTTATATAGCAACGCCATGATGTATATAACATACGTCCTATTGTTTCCACAGAGTTGTAATATTGTATGTGAATTAAATTTTAATGTTATATTTTGTCACTGTTTTATATAATTAATCCCAGGGGTCTTTAATTTCACTTCAGACCTTAATTGGCAAGTACTTTTGACACTTCATAAATACATGGCTCAAGTACATTGCCATATCATTTTACACTGTATTAGCTCATTTAATATGCAGTTGTCCCAGTGCCCATGATGCTCTAGCCCCTCTGAGGCAGCTCTGTTTTACGGACTACATGCTACCTGTATCTCAGCCATAATTGATTGGATGAGGGTGGGAGAGGACATGTCACCCACATACACCCTCACCACGGCTGGTAAGTCGGCCTGGCATGGAAAGAAGGTGTCTTCTCATTTCGCTTCAGATTGAGGAATAAGTGTAACAGGGTGCAGTCAAGGGGGGCCCCCAAATAGGGATTTGTAATGGGGTCCAAAACCCAGGGTGTCCAGGAAATGTTAGAGGAAAAAATATATATGATGTCCTCACCCCCACCAGCCTGAGCTGGGGGATGGGACACATGGAGCAGGGCCATTGAGAGCAGTTTTGCATAGCAACAGCTTTGCAGATAACCTTTGGCATGGTCATTTAACATATCTACAACCTTTAACTGGTTTTATAGGTATGTTAAGTAGCTGTGGCCATGCTTTGAGCCAGGGGGATGGGAGTGACTTCAACCCAGGATATAACTGGGAAGCAACTTTCCCTGGTTACAGAGCCTGCGTGAGAGCTTGGAGGTGATTGGCTCCATTGCATGGGGCCATGCCTGCCCAGACTTACTATGGCAGCCCAGTAAAGCCCAAAGAATACAGGAATGCTGGCAGGTGTAACTGATCGTGGGAGAAGTTGGAAATGGGGCTGCAGAGGAAGATTGGTACAGGGATTTAAACCCAGAAGTGGCAGCCATGACAGGCAGGACTGCGAGGCTGTGGCAGAAGAGGGGAATCACCAGTTGGCTTGGGCAGAGGTTGGGACCACATGGCTTTGGGTTGCTCCCCTTTTGCCACATGGCTTAGGAAGCAGGAGAGACTTTGCCTGGAAGAAAAGGGGTGAAAGGACTCTTGCTGGTGGGCCATGAGAGGGTGCCACATGGCTTTGGATTAACTGGAGATTGTGGCACCTACATAGCTGGTAGTGCCAGAAGCCTGAATCACCAACTTCTGGACTTCTTTTCCTGAGATAAGTACCCCGGACTAGGGCAGAGGGAGAAGGAAGGACTGTGTGCATCTGTGGGAATTCTAAAGGACATTAGTATTTTAATGAAGACATTAAGTCATTACTCTAAGTCTATAACTTTTAAATAAATAATTCCTTTCCTTTTCAACAGTCTCTGGTACTGAGAGATGTCTTTCCTCTGGCAGCGGGCAAAGTGAACCTAGTGGGTAGGGGGACCCCTGGAGAAAAGAAGGGGGGTCCTTTTGATAATAGTATATTGTTTGTCCCCCACACACACCTGGTCTGTTCTGTAACATAAGGATTTCAGAGGAATTTGGTTCTCTCTCTTCTGGGAACTTGAATGGGGAAAGACTTCAAGAATGAGTTAGTGAGAACAGATGCTAGATGAATGCCTGAGATAGGAGCCACAAGGGAGAGTCTAATTTAGGGACCAGGAAACTGTCTCCAAAAAGCCAAATAGGTTTTGTGAACCACACGGTTTCTGCTACAACTACTCAACCCTACCTTTGCAGCTAAAAGAGGCCACAGACAATAGCAAACGAATCAGTATGACTGTGTTCCCATAAAGCCGTGTTTGTGAAAACCGTGGGAGGCCACATTTGGCTTGCTACCTCACAACACAAGTGGTCTAAAATAATGGGCCAAAGTTTGCCAGTCCCTGGCCTGGACTATGAGGTTTGGCCATGATACTTCATGGCAGGCTGAACTGATGAGAAATCAAGAACCAGGTGGTAAAGAGAAACTACGATGGTAGAGAGGAAGAACTGGTAGCTGGCGACAGGAAACACAAGAGAAGAGTGTAGCAGTGTTGGGAAGGGTGGCCAACCCAAATGGATGGCGGGCACTGGAGTGAAGATCCATGGAATTCTACTGAGGATTCCTCAGGGCTGGGAGATCTCTGTCTCCTCTTTGGCCCTAAATAAAACCCAGTGATTTAAATGCCATTAACGCTACCTTGTGAAGAAGAAGAAGGGAACTCAGGTTCAGAGAGGTCCAGTGTTTGCCCAAGTGCCCAGGTGGTAAGCAGCAGTCAAAACAGACACCCAGCTCTACTGACTCTTAAATTCAGGACGCTCCCTACATCAAAGCAACACTTCAGTGCCCTTGGAAACGTGCTGCCTAACACACCACACCCTGTGACCCGAAGAGCGAAGATTGCTTTTGTAAGATAAACAACCATCTATTCATTTGTAAATTTTAAACATCTTTAATAAGGCATACAATCTGTGCTTTAAATGGAAGTTTGGGTACCAAATCCCTGCGGTAATCTCCGAAGACGGCCATCAGCAGTTTCCCTCTCCCTGCGTTCGCCCTCCTAGCGGGGGTGGCGTCTCTGTCCTCTTTCGTGGAATCTGGCCTGGCCTCGCGGCTTCCTTTAAGTAATGGAATGTAGGAGTGACATCCTGAGAGTCTTTCCACACCATAACAGAACTTACAGATTCTCTTTCCTTCTCTTGGTCTAGCCATCATGCTGTTGAGGAAGTCTAGAAAAGGCCACTTGAAGAAAGACAGTGAACAATAATAAATGGTCGTAATTTTAGACCACTGTGTTTTGAGGTGGTTTGTTATGCAGCAAAGGATCTGTCACACAATTCTTATTTAAAAGATTAAAATGGGTGTAGACTAAATAGGAAGTGTTTTCCAGGGTATTTCTACTACATTTTCCTTAGGGTATGTGGGGTTTTTTTTTCTTTGTTGAAAAAAGGGTTTGGAAAACACAGAGTTAAACAATCTTTTCAATGTACGACTTGCATGTACCTTTTCCCCCATATCTTATTACGAACATTCTAAAACATACAGAAAAGCCGAAAAATTAGAACGAACGTGTGCACACTTGCCACCTAGAGCCTGTCATTAACAATTTGTTATCTTTATTTTATCACATTTCTGTCCATTCCTTGATTCATCAAATACTCCTTAAATTTCTGACACACTTCAAAATGTTGCAAACCAGAACATTTTTTACTTTGTTCAATATTCTAGGAAAAACCATTCGATAGGGTATCATTAAATATGTCATATATGATCTTCATCAGGTTGTGGAGTTTTAATTAGCTAGTTTTTTTTTTTAATCATGAGTGAAATTATTAAATGGTGTCAAATGATTTTTCTGCATCTGCTGATATAATTATATTGGTTTGTCTGCTGAATCCTGTGAACAGGGGAGTACGTTGATCAATGTATGAATATTAAACCAGCTTGGCGCTCCCGGGACTCACCGCGGTAGGCCGCGACGCACTGCCCTTTCTGCACACGTGCCGCTGCAGGGGGTCGGCTGACTGCGTTACGGATTTTTACTTCTTTGCCCACAGAGATATTGATTTGAAATTTCCTTTTCTATAAGAGTTTTGTCAGGTTTTACTAGCAGTTAAAGTTCGCTTCACCAAAAGTTGTTGGGATGTGTTCCCTCCTCTATTTTCTAAAATAATTTAATACTGCCATTATTGCTTCTTGAAGTTTGATAGAATTTGTCATTTAATCATCTCTACTTAAAGAGGAAGAGCAGGGAAATCATCCCAACCTGAGTTTTCTTTATAGGGAAGGTTTTGATAATGTTTTTGATAATGAATCTAATTTCTTTAAAAGTTATAGGGCTATTCAGATAATCTGTTTCTTCTTATGTTAGTTTTGGTAAATCGTATTTTTCAAAGAATTTTTTTCAACTAAGTGGCTTTGGAGAAACCAGGGTCTTCCCCCAGCAAAAAATAAATAAATAAAAGGTAAACATGGAAATGTATTCAGTGCCATTCCTGTCTTTCAACTGACTGTTCTACTCTAATTTCTTTTTTCCAGTGTCTTCAGGTAGTTTTTAAAAAATATTTCTTTCGGCCCTGGCTGGTGTAGCTCAGTGGATTGAGCGCAGGCCCGTGAACCAGAAGATCGTGGTTGGATTCCCAGTCAGGGCACATACCTGGGTTGCAGGCCAGTTCCCAGCAGGGGACACAGGAGAGGCAACCATACATTGATATTTATCTCCCTCTCTCCTTCCCTTCCACTCTAAAGATAAATAAATAAAGTCTTTAAAAATATTTCTTTCAGAATTATGGGTTATTAACTATGAAAAGGTTTGTCCAATATAAGCTACTCTTCTCTTACTGGAAGCCAGAACTTGCATCTTTGAGATACAGAATATAGTACTAATTTATTTTGACCAGAGAGGGTTTTTTTTCAATGGAACAGCTGCAGAATGATGGCTTTGCTTTGGAAACCCTGATCAAAAGACAGCCTCT